GCTCGCTGCTGCCCGGCCGGGTGGGGAGGGCTGTGGGCTTGAGTGGAGACTGCTTTCCATTCCTGGGCAGATCAACCTCCTGCCTCAGCTTCTGTTGCACCTCCCTAGTGTTTGAGAAGCGGCTGAAGGGGTATAATGTTTTTCCGTTGTTTTATGTTCTGATATCATAGAATCATAGAATTAACTGGGTTGGAAGAGACCGCAGAGATCATCAAGTCCAACCCTACCATGGTTACAGACCACGGCACTAAGTGCCACATCCAGTCTCATCTTGAAAACCTCCAGGGATGGTGAATCCACCACCTCCCCGGGCAGCCCATTCCATTGCCTGATGACTCTGTAAAAAAATCTTTTCCTAATATCCAACCTAAACCTCCTCTGGCAGAGCTTGAGTCTGTGCCCTCTTGTCCTCCTGCTGGTTGCCTGGGAGAAGAGACCAACCCCCACCTGACTATAACCTCCTTTCAGGGAGTTGTAGATGGTGATAAGGTCTCCCCTGAGCCTCCTCCAGGCTAAACACAACCCCAGCTCCTTCAGCCTCTCCTCATAGCACTTGTGCTCCAGTCTCTTCACCAGCCTCGTTGCTCTTTTGTCCTGAGTGAGCTTAATGAGTTGATAATGAAGGCTCTCTCTGTCTCCAGGTTCGATGCCCCGGGTGCTAGCACAGGAGAGCTCAGCAGCCCCGCGGGAGGATGGCAAGGGAGGCTCCCGCAGGAGCAGCTGGGGCATGTTGGTCACTGCTGGAGTCGGTGGGACCTTGGTGGCTCTCTATGCTGTGGTCACCCCTTTCGTGACCCCGGCCCTGAGGAGAGTGTGCCTGCCCTTCGTTCCTGCCACCGCAGCTCAGATCCAGAACGTGCTGAAAATGCTAGAGAACAGAAGTGGCTCCCTAGTTGACATTGGTAGCGGGGATGGCCGCATTGTAAGTTATGGGCTTTGCCTTCCTTTCTTACCACTGCTCAGAAACCTACCAAATGCTCTAGCTGTCGCTGCTGTGTTCTCATATTTACAAATGGTTTTGTTTTTTGTATTTACAGTGGTTTTGTTTAAGTCTTACGATAACAATCAAAGCTGAGGAAGGTTTACATTCAGTTTAGGCCAGTAGTAGGTTTTTTTTTTCTCCAGCCTTACCTGCAGCTTGCCCAAGGTAGCATACAAAATGACAGCCTCATCGTGGTGCCTGGAGGGAATCACACTGCACTCACATCAAAAGATGCCATCAAAATGTTGGTATTGTGACTGACAAAGAGCTGTGATTCCACATAGGTGTACAACTGCAGCAAGTGAGGCTGTGAGATTAAATAGTGCTGTGCTTTTGGAGCTGCAGCTCTATGCTTAATGTATAAAGAGCAAAAGAGCATGAGAAATAAGGAATGGAATGCAAAAATAAAAATCCTGGTACTGATAGTACTGTAGCCTTCATACCTTTGTGCAGTGCTGGCTTCCCCACTTCAAAATCCCTGTGGTGGAACTAGAGTAATCACCAAGAGAAATGGTGAGAGTCATGAAAGCCAAAGTGATAATTCTGCTTTCAGGGCATTGTTTGAACCACAGTTTGTGAAATGTGGTGAGGGTATAGTGGAGAATGGTGTGGGGATTTTTTGTCATTGTGATGTTTTGTGTACCTTTTCATAACCATCTACTTCAAGGAAATTTTGGCAACAGGATGTTGCACCAGGTGTGTTTTTGATGGAAACAAGCAAGTTCTTGAATGCTACCTCTGTCCATATTTCTTGTGAACAAGTCAACTATTTATCCATGCAAAAATATTTAATTTGGAAACCCAAATATGTGAAGGTGGCTTCCTGAGTAGGAAACAGAGGAAAAAAAGCAGATATGAAAGAACTGCAGTTTCTGATGCCTTCTCTGTTCATCATTCTGACTGTTGACTCTCATCCGAGGCATCTAATTTGAGTAGGCACTGCATGTTTAATTCTGATTATACAGGTGCCTAAATGGAGACTGAAGACTGTTTGGAAATCCAGGTGCCTCAAATGGAATGCTTGGTGTTTCCTTAATGCATTTGTCCTGAAAAAAACAGTCTTTTCAGGTGCTTTTAACCATTTAGCACTTACTTAAGTGTAATCAGTGGATGAATAGGATGATATTTTACTTTCCAAGCATGATAACAATGCCAGATTCTTTTTAATGAATTTGTAAGTGCTCTGTGCATGGTGGAAGATGTTTTACTTTGACAGTGTGAAATAAAGTGTCCAGGTAATGCTGTTTGAGAAGTCCTGTTAAGAAATGTGTACTTCTTCCTGATTTCACCTTGCCTGTTTTGCAGTTCCTAGTTCTTCAGGTGTTTCCTGATTAAAATTTGGCAGTAACCTTTTTAATTATATCTTAAACCTTTAGTCTAGAAACTGGTGCCTTTTTGTATTTTCTATTTGATATGTCATGTTGGCACTGATTCAGGGGTTGTTCAAATGCCTATCCCTCATTCTTCTCTCCTTGGTGAATTTTGGTACTCTTTAATTCCAAGGCAGTGTCATGAATGTGTTAAACTTTTATGTAAGTCATAGAGGTACTACAAGCTCACAGCTTTGCCCTCTGAGTGTTTATGTTTTCATTTTGTTTGTCTGAATATATTAATTTCAATTGGACTAGTCATAATAGTAAAATGTAGTTTTGAGTTTCTGTTCACTATGCTACTAATCTGTTGGGCATTAAAACCTGAGTGACTTACAGAAGTGCTTTCCTTTGATTTATATTTTAAATAAAACTCTGTGCTCCTGTTTAGATGAATAGCCTTTTGTGTTTCTAAGTGAGGATTTATTTCCTTCCTTGTAGGTGATAGCAGCTGCAAAGAAAGGATTCAAAGCTGTTGGTTATGAATTAAATCCCTGGCTAGTCTGGTACTCCAGATACCGTGCCTGGAGAGATGGGGTGCATCAGAACACCAAATTTTATATATCAGACTTATGGAAGGTAGGTAGTGAAGTATGTAAGAATTAATCTGGGATGATTGAGAAATTTTCATAGTTTGGAAATACTTTATTGGAGGAACCAGAATGCTGACTGGCCACAAGATTCTATATTGAGCTTTAGGTTAAGCCCTTGTGCTGGAAGTCTAGTTTCTATGGGCTAAGTATGCTGTTTTGCTGGTCTCGTGCTTTGTTTGAGTGCTGTTGTTTTTCAGTAAAGGATCCTCAGACAGGTCTGTGCCTGATGAATTACGTGGGGTTTTTTTGGTGGGTTTGGGATTTTTGTTTTGATCAGAGAGAAGCATTGAAAAAACTGCATGGCACTAACTGGAAGAACCCAGGCATTAGAATGCCTGTTAAGTTTTTATAGCTAGCTAACATTTAACAAAAGAAGGGGCAAACTTAAAGCATATGTGATTTTAACACATACAGGGGGTGTGAAAAAAACCAACTTAGTTATGAGTAAAATCACGTAGGTATTTTCTAAATTAATGCTTCCTGTGCTACTAGAATTGGTGCCATATTCTTGGACAGGCAGTAGAAGGTTTTTTACTGTTCCGCAATATAATGTTTTCTTTATGTGGAAATTTGTGTGATGAAAAGTTGATAGGGGATCTCCTTTCATATTTTTGGTCTAAATCGCTGTTGAAAGAAGTGTGGCTGGAGGGATTAGGAGAAAAGAATAGTGAGAACTTCTCCAAATACAAATGCCATTTTCATTAAGACTTGTTCTCAAATTTTATTTTAGGTTTCTTTTTCCCGTTACACAAACGTTGTTGTTTTTGGGGTACCTCAAATGGTAAGTTTGCTATTTGTGCACTATTAAATTATTTTAAGGCGTTCAGTGTTAGTGCATTGGTCTGCAAAAATGAACTAACCTGCAGAAGGCCAAAGATAACCAGTAATAATATTTTGATATTTCATTTTTGCTTATTAATGCCCATGATAAAACCTGATAAAACTTGGGACAGTGTGCAGACTGGAGCTCTGAAAATATGTGGGTTTTTTGAGAAGTATTTTCTGTCCATTAGTTTAGAAACAAATGAAAACTGCTGTGCTCAAATTGCTTGGGGGAAAGGTGATAGTTTGGTTGTCAAAAACTTCAATTTTTTTTTTTTAATACTGAAGAAAAGAGGAGCTTACAGGGAGAGGCTGGAGTAGTAAATTGGCTACAGCTGGTTTTTGGGAGCCTTGTTAGAGGGAACTGTTGAACTTTGTGTTCTCCAGAAACTAGATCACCTCAAGTAGGCCAGCAGTTGGTATATTGAAATAATCACTTGCCCATTTGTGGACTGTGAGGGCTTAGGGAGGGAGACAAGTGCTTCAAGTGGCTTTGTAGCTTGTGTTCACTGTGTCCCTGGGGAAAATGCATTACTGGTGTAGAAATTGAGTTGCATAGTGACTGCTTTAGTGATATATTTGATAAATTGAGTCAGACTTCACATTCACTCTGGCTTTCAGCTTGATCTAGTTTTCTTTTTCTCTTTTTGCTAGAAAATAGAAAAAATATTAATATTTAAGTAATCTTGATACTATTAGATTTTTCTATATAGGTTGAATGTATATGGAGGAGTGAAACAAATATCAGATAGAATCCTAGAACAGTAGAGAGACTTTTCACTAGACCAAGTTGCTCAGAGCTCCATCCAACCTGGCCTTAAACAATTCCAGGGTTGGGGCATCCATAACTACTGTGGGCAACTTGTTCCAGTGCCTCACCACCCTCACAGTTAAGAATTTTTTCCTAATAGCTAATCCAAACAGTGAAGAATTTCTTCCTAATAGCTAACCTAAACCTACCCTCTTTCAGTACATGCTCTTGTAGAGAGTTCCTCTCCATCTTTATTGCAGGCTTCCTTCAGGTGCTGGAAGGCCACAGTTAGGTCACCCCAAAGCCTTCTCTTTTCCAGGCTGAACAATTCCAACTCTCTTAGACTTTGCTTCTGTACTGATTCTTCCTGTGCTCAGGCAGACATGTGATGAGTGAGCGTGAAGAGCTCTATGTGATGCCATACTACACACGCCGGTAACATTTCTGTAGTAACAACAGGAAGCATAATAAAGCTTTCCTATGCTCTGTGCATTCTTTATCGGCGCTGGAATCAAACCTCTACCTGAGTTTGAAACTGTCGCCCGTGTTGGAAGCCGCAGTGAGCCCGGGTGTGCTGTGGGGAGCGCCGCGGTGTCAGTGGTGCTGCAGGTGTGGGAGGTACGTGCTCTCCCGCCGGAGTGCCGCCAGGGGGCGGCATACACGCTTGGATTTGCAGTGGGAATTCTGCCTCGGCACGGAGGGGAAAAGTGCGGGTGGAGAAAGATGTTTCGGTAAAGTAGAAATAAGCAGATGCACTGGGAAAATGTGAGTAAACCCGGCAGAAATACTGACTTAACCTTAGGTGTAAGAGTGTAAAGTGGGATAAATTAGTAACAGCTGTGATGCAAAGAGTAGCTATAGGGCTCAAAGTAGCTTCCCTAAATTCAGTAAGTACTAGGCTCAATTCTTTCAGTAAAAGTGCTGTCATAAATGCAGCAGATGCAAACATAGGAACCTTTGTGTTTCCTGAGCATTCGTTTGCTCATGATCCCCTCAAAACTTACCTCGGAAGTTGCGAATGCTTAGCCTCCTGTATGACTAAGTTAATTTTTTAGAAGCCTTCATATGTTTTTTTTTGTTTTTTTTTACTAAGGACAATAAATCTCTTTAGCTTTTTTAATGATGCTGTCTGATTTGATACTTTCACAATGCTTTTATTTTGTATCCAAGATTAGCTTGCAAAACTTGGATTTATTGATATTCAGGGAAGACTTAAGACCTCTCTTGTTCTTGCAAGTGTCTAGGTGAAGGTGTGTTTGTTTCTGAGTCATTGCAGAGAGAGACTTTTAGTTGTTCAGGGTGGGATGACAGAATTCTTACCAGATGTTCATGTTTGCAGCTTCTGTGCATTTTAACTGATTATATACTGTACAAAAGGTTTACTAAACTATGTATCTGTGTAGACATACAAAAACCCCAAGCCTGGCTTGACATAAAATACAGTAAAAACACCTAATGTAACTGATAGATTTATCTTAAAAACTAGTTTGGTCAGTTCAAGGATGCAATTCTTTTTGGCTGAACTATTAATGATGTTTTCTAATTGGAGCTAATAGAGACATACAGTGTCACTAATTTTCACAATTGCTCACTGAAAATTAGGCTATGTCTATATTTGCAATTTCTGTAACAAATTAGACCTTCCTTTTCTGGTGTCTCAACTGGGTTTTAGATACCAGACTGGGCTTATTTTTCTAGTTTGTTTGAGGTGCAGTAGCAAAAATGTTTAAAAGCATTTGCAGTACAGATGAAATTGGAGCACAGAATGCTTAAAAATATTCAGAGGTAACTCTTTCATATATTAGATCTGTGACTATAATTTTCCTAAAATATTCCATTGTAAGCTTAGATGTAGCCATAATAGGATATTACATCAAAGGCACACCCTGCATGCATATGATAGTGGAAGCTATCTGCAGCCTCTGGAAATGTATTTTCTTCTGTCAGTCTTGTTTTCTAATAGTGTTCTGTTAGTTTTTTCTTCTTTTTTCTTTTTTTTTGGTGAAATTTTCATATATTTTGTGTTTTCATGGCTTAAATTGAGCTATATTTTTAAGTAATTACTGTCCTTTTAACCTTTTAATATCCAAATTTTACCACTGTGATAACAAAATAAATAGATTTTTACATGTAATAGAACTAGCCTGTGGATAGGGTATGTAAGAATAAAAGGAACTCCAAATGGACGTGCACTGCTGAGCTGCTTAAGCATACCATCAAACTTTTCTGAAGGACAAAAATGGCTAAATCTGTTGGTTTTTTTTTTCCCCAGAACATAATCACTATCTGGGATGGGAAAGAAGTTACTTTGAAGTCTAGATGTGTTAATTCATTTCTCACTTAATCCATAGCAAAATTTGCAAAGTACTTTAGAGAGAGTATGTGACTGATTGGAGTGTTGCTCTGCTGTTCTAGAAAAGTAGTGATATATCCTTTGACTTTCACATCCTCTCATTTATTGTGAATGGAGGAAAGCTAGACTGTAGGTCTTCAACGAAGGAGAGTTACACAGTGGCATGTGACATGGTCCCCCCACAACAGCCTTCTCTCCACAGCCTTCTCTCTAAACTGGAGAGAGATGGATCTGGTGGGTGGACTATTCAGTGGATAATGAATTGGCTGCATCCAGAGGGTCATTATTTGATGGCTCAATGTCCTGATGAAGATCAGTCATGAGTCGTGTCCCTCAGGGGTCTGTATTGGGACTGATCCTGCTTGATATCTTCATCAATGACATAAACAATGAGATTGAGTGCACACTCAGAAAAAGTTGCAGATGATACCAAACTGAGTGGGGCCAGAAGGACCTGGACAAGAAGTAGGTCTATGAGAACCTCCTGCAGGTCAACAAGACCAAGTGCAACGTGCTACACCTGGGTCGAGGCAATGCCTGGTATCAATCCAGGCTGGGGGATGAGATGCCTGGTATCAATCCAGACTGGGGGATGAAGGGATCGAGAGCAGCCCTGCTGAGAAGGACTCAGGGATGATGGTGGATAAAAAGATGGACATGAGCTGGCAGTGTGCACTTGCAGCCCAGAAAGCCAACTGTGTCCTGGGCTGCATCAAAAATGGCGTGGCCAGCAGGTCAAAGGAGGTGAGAATACTCTGCTTTCATGAGACCCCAGCTGGGAGTACTGCATCCAGCTCTGGAGTCCTCGGCACAAGACAGATGTGGACCTGTTGGAGTGAGTCCAGAGGAGGGCTATGAACATGAAAAGAGGGCTGAAGCTCCTCTCCTATGAGGACAGGCTGAGAGAGTTGTGGTTGTTCAGCCTGGGGAAGACTTACTGTGGCCTTGTAGTACTTAAAGGGGGCTTATAAAAAAGATGGGTATAGCCTTTTAGTGGGGCCTGTAGTGGCAGGACAAGAGGGTAAATTCAGACTAGATTTAAGTAAGAAAATTTTTACAAATAGGGTGGAACAGGTTGCCCAGAGAGGTGGTAGATGCCCCGTTGCTGTAAACAATGCCATGCTGGATAGGGCCCTGAACAAACTGATCTAGTTGAAGATGTCCCAGCCTGTGGCAGGGGGGTTCGACTAAGTGACCTTTAAAGGTCCTTTCCAACCCAAACCATACTATGATTCTGATTCATGCAGTGCTGCTGCAGGGATTTAGATGCATGTGTTAACAGGCTGTGGAGTCAACAAAGCTGAATTTCAATAGTATTTAATATCCCAGTACTTTATACAGTGAGAGCAGAATGTTTGCTTTGGGTTGTTGTCTGTTTTGAGTGTCCTGGGATCTGTCTTGATGTTAGACTGTAAATTATGAGCAGTGGTAACCTCTGAGTATCACACAATAGTTCATGAATCTTGGGGTGTCATAAATAGCATAAATTCAGGGATCTGAACTTCCATTCCCTACAGAGAAGAATCACACTGAAGAGACTCATGAATTGGAACATGCAGAATCTTTTCTTTGCAGGCTTTTTGAATCTAAGGGATAATCTACAGGTTTTGATTTGATTTTTGGAATTTAAAGTTACGATTTCCTTGATGTCACCAGCTGGGACATGACCACCATTTTCTAGTTTTAGATATTCTTTGTTAAGACATCAAAGCCAAAATATATATCATGAATTCCAAAGATTTGTAAAAAAAATTCCTCAAACCTTAGACTTCTCTTGAATACTTGAATTAGATTCTAAAGAGAATGCTTCTGGTTTTTTACTGCTTCCGAAAGTTTTTTATTGTTACTCAACAGATGCCACAGTTGGAGAAGAAGCTGGAAGAAGAACTGGAATGTGATGCCAGAATTATTGCCTGTCGTTTTCCTTTCCCTTGCTGGATTCCAGATCGTACTATTGGAGATGGAATAGACACTGTGTGGGCCTATGATTTGAAACATGATTTGAAACACCCAGGATGTGAAACAAAAAGCTTGGAAATTACACCAGAGACAGAATCCTAAACATCTATTTTTATTTTTTACTGAAATTTTTAGCTATGACTTCATCTGACTATGGAGATATATATATTCACTCAAGAAAGTGAAGTACACTGGTTATCTGAAAGCACATGAAGGTTACTGAAAGGTGTAGTTAAATGGTTTAATGTAGTGTCCTGGTTTAATCCCAGCTGGCAACTAAGTGCTGTACAGATGTTTACTCACCCCATCACCCGCTCTCTCCCAGTGGGATGGGGAGGAAAATTGGAAAGAAGGTCGTACACATGGGATGAGATAAGAACAGTTTAATAATTGAAATAGATGTAATAATAATTGTGATGAAAAGGGAGACAACAAACAGAGGAGGAAACCCCAACAAAGATGAGTGATGCGCAGTAGCATTGCTCACCACCTGCTGGATCGATGCTCATCCCAGAGCAATGACTGGTTCCTCCTTGCCAACTCCCCCCAGTTTATATTCTGGGCATGACATGCTATGGTGTGGAATATCCCTTTGCACAGTTTGGGTCAGCTGTCCCAGCCATGCTCTCTTCTGGCTTCTTGCACATCTCCTTGCTGGCAGAGCATGGAGAACTGAGAAGTCCTTGACAGGGTAAGCACTGCTCAGCAGCAACTGAAGCATCAGTGTGTTACCAACAATATTCTCATTCTGAATCCACAACACAGCACTCTACCAGCTACTAGGAAGAAAACAAATTCTATCCCAGCTGAAACCAGGACTTGTAATTAGTAAAAATTACAACAACGTTTTATAGAAATGGAAAACTTTAATGTGGAGAACAGAATAAAACATGTTTCACTACTGTTAAGTGGAATATATTTATAAGATAAAGTGCTAAAATAGGTGAGCTTCGTATGTACGTTCTTTCTGACGCTCCATATCATTTGGTGTTGGAAGTGGTGTGCAAGTGACTTCTCCAATGAGCTGTGGTTCCCAAATGTGTTCTTTATATATGCCAAGTAGGCACAATGCTGCACACACCAAACTGATGCAGGTAGAGTATGCTGGTGATACTGATGTGTCACACCTCAGCCTTGAATGTTTGCTTTTAAAAGTTGAGTATGACAAAACAAGCGAATACAAGAAGTTGCTCATTCATTAATACAAGTGCAGCCTCTGATTGTATTCATGTGTTTTTATTTAACTTGCTGTGTGAAAACAAAGCTGCAGAAATGTGCTCTCACTGAACTCTTACTGGTGTAAGCCTTTGCCAATGGCTATAATTTTTCCTAACCTCTCTGATTTCAGAAGGGTTTCAAAAGTCACGTGTCATTGAAGCATCACAAGTTCTCAATGGTGTGCTCAAACTTTGAATAAAGGTATAGATGAGAGTTGCTTACTCGAATACTTAAGTCTGACTCTGATTCCAGTGCTAGCTGGTCTGGCTAGCTTGGCTGAATCTCATTAGACCTCATTTAATTTACTGTGAGATGGAAAGGAAGATTTTTGATCAGACTTCTTTTCCCTTCTACTTTTCGTTGCCATCTGATGAGATCTCAGAAACTCACGGTGTTGCTGTGTGTTTTTTCCTTGTAAGTGAAGCAAGTTCTCCCTGTCCCTTTGCTGATACTGGTCTACAGTGGGGAACTGTCACTGTGCTGATGTTTTCCTTCTCTACCATGGTTACAGCAGTTTTCTGTTTTATAACAGTCTGCTTGCTTGTTCTTTTTTCTGGTTCCTGAGTAATGTTTTACTGTTTTCACCCATGAACAATTAGTCAAAGTTCATAGTCAGCCTCCCCTGGCCCCAGTTAACATATAGCCTATTTGTTAAGCAGTGACTATGTAAGTTTGTCAGACCTTTGCCTATGTGATACTCATAGAATGAAGCTAAAACAAGCTGGGAAATTGTCATCTGACTTCAAGGCAGTTGTTACCACAACTAAAATTAGCTTAGGTTGGCAAGAAGTGCTGAGACCCTAGAATTTCAAGTAAATACAAAGTCTGTCACATTTTATTAGGTGTTGTGAAAGCAAATTTGCTCTACTGTAGTGTCTGACTTGAAGAGAAGTTGGGTGGTGTTTGGGATGTGTAGTCTATAATGCTACCTGTACCCAGGATTTTTGTTATTGGTGTCAGGGGAGAGGAAGGAGAACTTAAAATACCTGAAAATCTACACAGGGGATTTGTAAAGAAGCAGTGGTGTGGTTTTGTCCTGATAAGGTATACAAAGAAGGAAAAAGGGACAATTTTATCTGGGGTCTGCAAAGGAGAGGTGATTTCAGCCTCTCATGGCAAGCACACCTGTAAACGTGGAGACTGTGTGCACTGAAAAACAGGTGTTCCTGGTAAGCAGCCTTTTACAGCCTTTCACTGCAATGTTACATAAAGCATCTTGTAAAACTACACTAAATTCTTTCTGTCATGATTTAAGTGTTGTGATTATTACACAGTGACAGGACAGGGCTAGAGTGCCTTATCTAAAATGGCTGAGTTTAGCATCCCGAGGCCATAGAAATGGGAACTCAGACAAAGGACATCTGAAATTATTTCTGTTCATAAAAGACCATACAAAGGGGAAATTAGCTAATTAAGCAGTCTTTTCCCAAATGATTACAAAGGAGAAGAGAAAGCAAAAGATTTTGATTCAATTGAATTGTGACTCATCTGTACTGCTTTGACTCAAATTTCTTCAGCCTACTTTCACTAAAGTTAGTTTGTAGGGAATGAAGCAGCTATTTACTTCTCCTGATGTGTTTGAGTATATATTTTTCCATTGCATTCATGTTTGCTTGTTAAAAAGTAAAACTGAATTTCCCATTTTTGCTCGTGGTAAGGGTCTTGGGATGTGTACTTCTTGGTTGCCACCTATTGCTCTGGAAATACTTGCTGAGGAGGGTGAAATAGAATTAAGGATGTGATGACCTGAACTTTGGAAATACTAAGTGCTGTCCTCAAGGAGAGATTTGTGAACGTTTTAAAGTGAAGCAGAAGGCTGTTCTGCTCTGGCCCTTTTGGGGCCTACACTGAAATAGGCAGTGGTCTGAAGGTTTGGAATTCCTTATGAAATAAGAAAATGTGCTGTATTTCCTCTTTGCATAGCTTAAGTGTGAACTGGAAAGCAAATTGCTCTGATTTACACAGGGCGACTGGGAAATAATTTTCTTGTCATGTTGCCCTCAATTTTTCGATCATTTGCTATGTTCGTTTGATAGTTTGCAAGATTAAATACTTAACTGTGACTTCAGTTATCACTGTATGGATTATTATGTTGATACATTTCCAATTTCTAGGGTAATATATAATGATTTTGTTGATGTACTACTTCAGGGTAGAAATTTGTTTCTTCCAAAAACCAGGAAAGCCGTAGAGAACTGCCTTAATCAAATTATAGTGTGGGTCTGAAGCCAAAAGTAGGAAACCTTCAAGCTACACATGCTGTTCAATACCAAAGTAATTCAGATAAACTGTAGGTTTTTCTGTGTATCTTTGTTTGTGGCTTCTAGTAGTTGCTTGCCTTTTGGGAGTTATTTTATTCTTTCCTTGCCTTGCCAGATCTTAGCCAAAAAAAAGTTGTTACATTGCTGAATGAGTAATGCTTTCCTGAAATATTGTAGAATTTGATTTGTTTATAAAAAGTACAGGTCAGAGTCAGACTTTCAAACTATTCTTCCTTCCCCACCTTGTGTTTTCTTTTGTTGAGGCAGATTATGTCCTCACAGGTTTTGTGATGCAAGATGAATTTTACCAATGCAACATTTGAGTGCTGCAATTCTAATGTTGTAGTTTTCCATTTCCATTTTGTGTAAATTTGCTTTCTAGGGAGAAGGAGAGGGATATGGCTACAAGAGAGCCATCTGATAGGCAGCTTGCTCAGTATACTGCATGGTCACTGCAGCCACACAGCAACATCAACCAAGCTTGTCCAGCTTTGTTTGGGAAATGTACACATACCTGGTGAGTTTTAGGCATTTCTGTATTACTGAGTGTATTGAAATTCCTGGTTTATCCTCTGGTCTGATTGTATGCTCCCACTTAATCTAATACTGCACCAACAAAGTTAATCCTCTGTCTCTGAGCTGCTGTTTATTTCTGACTCATGAGTTGTAGCCAGGTAAGTCGATACAGAATCCAGTTTCAAATAAAGCACCACATTTCACAAGCCCTTTGAATGAGTGTGGTCTGTGGAAAAGAAGTTCTAAAGCCCAGGCTTTGGGGAAGTCTTTCACCTTTCATGAGGGACACAGCTCAGAAGGCAACAGAGAGCTTCTGAATTCTGTATAATTTCATCAAAATTGTGTTCTTCAAAAATTTTTACCACTGTAATACTATTCTAAGATCTGTAGGGGAAGTAAACTGAGGCAGCATTTTGGCTATCTTTTATATTTTGAGCTATGGGAGGAAAGGAGGAAGGGGATCTTACGGCCTAGGTATGGCAGTTTGACCTATTTCAAAAGCAGTTTGACAGACTTGCACATCTTCTCTGCCTATTTCTTACTGGATAGGAGAATCCATACTAAGAATGGGCTGTGATGTGCATTCACTTAGAAGTGGGTGCATGCCTGATACGATTACACTTGGATGAACAGTAATTATTGACAGATCACCTCATCCTTCTATAGTTTCACTTTCCATGGTTTACAGATACTGAAGCATTTATTCAGAAAAGGACATGAATCCTTCAAACTCATGGTTCAGTTTTGGGTTGTCCTATACAGCGCAAGGAGTTGGTCTTCGATGATCCTTGTGGGTCCCTTCCAATTCGGGATATTCTATAATTCCATGGTTGAAGAGAGCAGCCTAACATCAGATTTAATGTCAGTAAATTCTGCTTTGAGTGAATTATTTTTTCTTTTATGTTTGCCAGGATTGCAGTTGTCTACTTTTAAAATGTAGCCCCAATTTGTTTTTCAGAAGTATTATATATTTCTTCTACAAGGCTTCTTTAATTCTTGATAAGACAGTGTGACTTCTATGTTTAACTTAAAAATCACCCTTGAGTGAGATTTCTGAAAATATAAATTCTGCATTTTTCTTTGCGTGATAATCTTTCTCTTTATCCTTGTTTGTTTTACTGAGAAAGACTTATACATGGATAAATACC